ATTGAAGAATTATTTTCAATTTGGACGAACTTTCAGTGGAGTGGAATTTGAGTGAAAAATTATTTGAGTCAATAATTTTTTGGGCAAATAATTTTTAGTGGATGATGTCACTCCGGAAGAATAACGCGGGTTGAATTTTGGATGTGATGGATTACGAGTGCCAGTTGTTGTCCTCCTTCTCACGCTTTTACTTCAGGTGATGATGGGGATAGGAAGGGATAAAAAAAAAAACATTGTTTTCTCACACACTCATCGTCAAGCCTAGGCCTCCTGCGGTTCACCAGACAGGAGGACAGACTATTATCACAATAGATGAGCCCAACTTTCAATCCATGAAGAAAAAATAACATGGATTTCACCACCAGCTGTCATCCAAACGAAACGGAAAAGATACGCCCGATAAAATTGAATTTCACGATAAAAATGTCGACTATTCAATTTTCAAATTCCCCTTCAACAATTTTAATCATCCGGATAAAGAAAAATTGTGATCGGAATATTTTTTCGAAATTTTCAAAAATTTCTGGAGAACTTTACAGAAATTTTTTTTTTTGAAACAAAAAAAAATCGAAAACCAAAAATTTGTTTTTTTTTATATTCTGAAACAATACGCCATTTAAATTGTTCAAACAATTTTCCTATTCCAATTTTTAAAAAATTTTTCAAAACCTTTCCAAAAATTTTTTGAAAATTTGGAAAAAATATTTCGATTACATTTTTTTTTACGCGGGCATGAAAGTGATATTCGAATAAATAAATTCCTTCACATACAACCCTAAAACCGATTATATTAATAATTAAAATAATTATTGGAGAATAAAATTGGGATGAAAAAAATGTTTTTTTATTGAAGATCTGGAGAATCCAGCAAACATTTCAAAGTTACCATAATCCCATTAAAATTCTGAACTCAAAACGCGCTGATTGGCCCTGGAGGGATAACCAAATCCCCATATGCTAATGGCCCCACGTTAAATGTACATTAGTAATCGATATTATAGGTAATATTACCGAAAGTGAGTGCTGAATTCCACATTTGATAATGCAATTGAACTTACACAATACTCCATTGCCGTCAAGTGAATTTGAGGATAATTTCTGCTTTATGATTTCAGGGGGTGAACTCGTGGAACTTTAGCGCAATGGGTTTGCGGACACTGCTTTTGCTATGTAAGTATAATCTCCATCGATATCCAATAGCAGTCAAGATACTTGTCATTGCGCTTTCAACAGCCAAATAAAATTGGCCACCGAAACTTCCCAGAAAAATTTTCCAGAAATTTTTGGAAAATTTGGAAAAAATATTCCGATTACAATTTTACCCGGGGTTGCAGTAAAGTACGATTTTTCGCACAAGTTGCAAATTTGACAGATTAGATTCAAGGGCGAGATTGATGTGTTCCATTGAATAATCGTTATCACAGATGACTATATCCTAGACAAATGAATGGAATTTGGGGCTGCATACAATCATACCATAAACCGTGACGACCACGACCTCGATGAAAGCTAAGAGCGTCCTCGCCCAACACAATGAAGAAATCCACTTGCCATTGTTTTCAAATTTTTACATTTTTTCACTTCTGCGATATTATGATAAACACCTGCCATATTTCACCGACTGTTACTTCACCCTATGATGCCTCTGTCATAACATCCAATTAGTCATCAGCGATTAAACGATTATTTCACAATGATCCTCACAAAATTGCCTACCCTAAACAAATAAAAAGTATGATAAATGGGGAAAAGTAATGAATAGTCGTGACAAAGAGTAAAATAGCAGAGAAAGATGCGGTGGCATTACGTCTTTCGACAAATTACCCCGACATTTTCCACAAAAATCACTCGTCCATTACCACGACATTATCCTCAGGATTCAGTAAATATTGTCCATCCCTTAAAAAAAAAATCATGTAGCGTATGCATACCAAAATATACATATGTATTTTTTTAAATATATAATATACACATAATATATTTCATTTTTATGTATTAATAATGCATCTGTACAAGGGGAATTTTTTTCATAAAAAAGATTTTTTTTGATTGAAAATTTTTTTTTTTCAATTAAATTCTGGGTAGTGAAAATTTTTTACAAAATTAATTATTCCTTTTAAAAAAATCCCTTTGGAAATGATGTAGAATGGTCTGAAACATAAAAATACAACTTCGCCGACTCTTCTAGGAAATTAATAAATTGCGGAAGTTATTCCCCGAAAGGTGAAATTTCGTGAAATAATATTAAGGAGTAAGTCTGTGCCAAAATTCAGATGGACAGGTTCAGCTCTAGGGTTTGAGGACCTATTCCTCTTCGTCATGGGAGATTGTCGGCCATTTATGGAAGGCAATGGAGGGGAAAAGTCAAGGATAGGTGATAAGGAGTGGGAGATGATGAGGATATTGTAACCTCGGAGACTAGAACCCGATGGATAAAACGCAGTCGATTTATGATCTATCGTTTGACTCGCTCATCGATGGGGTCGAGCTATGAGTCAGGTGTTTTTCGATGATCAGGGCACGATGCATTGAATCTAAAAACGTTATAGTCGCGTCGATCTTTATTAATGGAAAGAGTAAATGTCAGTCCAGGGGTTACAGCAATTACTGTGGAGTTATTGCTCCTCGTAATGTCTTAGATTAAAAAAAAATCAGCCATTAATGGGAATCAATGGAATTGGATGATTCGATGATTAGGACTTCGAGTGAATTTCATGGAATATCCACATGAATTTGTCACTACCGGTATCTCTCAGCTCAAGTGAATCGACATTTTTATGCATATCCCATGAATATGGAAATTGAAAACTGGAAGAGCTAGTGCAATAGTATGAAGCCATGCTAAAAGCAATTTTCCCTTCTTCTGCAGCTTTGAAATATCGAATTGATACGAAAGTTTCGCCATTTCAATTTGCGAAGTGCCGCGGAATACGAGGCCGAGTGTTGGAATCTCGTTCAGCGACACTTTTTCGTTTTATTTTTTACGTTTATACCCGTAGACGTCCACCTGACGGATCTTTTTATTTCTCTCCTCTTGCTCGCGTTTTCTCCTTATGTTTTTTTTTTTTGTTTAAGTTTTTATTTTTTTCGTTATCCACTTTCAACTCGGGGGATCCTATTACTCCAGTTCCGATCTTGTCCGATACGATCTAAAGGAGGTGGAGGAGTAAAGAAAAAGCCAAGTTTTATCTCCATTTTCCGAGGCTTTACCATTTGCGATGAAATTGCTTTTCCACCATGTGTCTCTCTAATTCACTCCGAGTTTTTATCCCTTTTCTCTTGTTTCCTCGAAATTTCTCACTCATCGCGATACAATCGCTTTTATACCCGTTGCAGTCCCTCGATGGAAAATTAATTATCGCGCGCCATCGCATTAATTGTAATCTCTAATTGTGATCCTCTTATGTTAAATAATATTATCGGGTTATTTAAACAGTAGGAATTATTATTCAAGATTATCTGATTATTTATGGTTAAGAGGTACTTTCGAGGGGTTTTTCATTTTCGAATATGGAATTAATTATTTCGGGCAATAATTGATGTCAAGGGATTTCATGTGATTTCACATGATTTTCGTGACTTGCAATATTTGCGAAAAATATTAATTTGTTTAGAAAATTTGAACAAGATAATTATCAATATAATTTTGACAAGAAAAATTACTGAAAAAATGGATGGTCCAGACCGGGATTCCCAGCATCGGGTGCTCTTTAATTCGAAAAAAATCGAGAAATCTTTCGCTTTTTTTTTTTTTTTGGAAAAACCCACACCAAGAATGTACCTCCGGAAAGACATAAATTTTTTTTAAATCCGGAAATATAAAAAAAAACTTTGGAAGAGGGAATTTTGTACCCCCGCAAAATCCAAGAAATACTGTAATAGTCTCGTTCCGAAAAGTTTAGTTGGAATTCTTGACTAGTCCGCTCGTAAAAATTATCACCAATTCTTCCGTCTATGAATGTCTCCTTTTTTCAGGAGTTTGTGCAGTCAATGTGAACTGCAATTTCCCTCAAACCATTCTTCGCAAAAAATGAATCCATTCACCCTCGATCTATATTCCCATAAATCGTCGTTAAAAATAATAAGGTCGTAACACATCAGGACTTTCACACAGTGCAGGTGGAATACATTCACCTCTCAATGATGTTTAGCCACCAAAAAATTCTGGAAAACGCGGAAAAGCAAAAAAGCCGCGGTTCACACGCCGAGAAAAAAAATATATTTGCAGATCAATTCCACACCCGTCTTACCGTACATATAGTTAGTGTATTTTTTATCGCGAGTTTTATGTCGAGAAGGATATTGTCAACTAAAATATTTATTATAGCTGTTAATTAAATATAAATGGACGACCAGCAGACCGGGTAAAAAAAATTGTAATCGGAATATTTTTTTCTAAATTTTCAAAAAGTTTCTGGAAAACTTTTCAAAAATTTGTTTCGGAAATTTTTTTTTATTTTGTAGAAATTTTCGCGAATATAATTTTCTCTTTTAATTATCCTGTTACTTTCTCCCTTTTTTGATTTTTCAATATTCTCAAAAAAAAGGCCATCTAAATTATAAAAAAAAAATTCCAATTCAAATTTTTGAAAAATTTTTCAAAACCTTTCCCAAAAAAAAAATGTTTTTTTTTTTCGATTTTTCATAAAAAAAATTTTCTGAAAAGTTTTCCAGGAATTTTTGGAAAATTTGGAAAAAATTCCGATTACATCTTTTTTTACTCGGGAGTAAATGATTGAGAGAAACGGCGGGAAAATATTTATAGGGAAGAATATTTATTTCCGAGTGCATTCCCACGTAAATATGGAATGACATCGAACCGGAAGGAAGAGGGGGTGTCTTACAACAAATGAATTCAATTAATCTCAGAAATCTTGAGGAAACATCTTCACTCCACTGCAGCAAACTGAAAACTGTACATCCGAACTCGCGTCACGTCTCCCGTAAATTTACTACAAGTAATGACATCTGGAAGGAGTTAATTATCGAAGACGATGAAATGTAATGGAGATAGACATTTTGCGTGTGTTGGATTTCCATCGTCTGTGTTTCCGGTTTCTACCCCACACTTCCTTCAAGTGATTCATTTGTTTACTATACACCACCTGCTATTATCTTGAACAGTTTCCCATCAACCCGAGGTATTGAATTTGTGGTACGTTAATAACTCTTGGTTCATTGATAAGAAGGAAATTATATTCAATAGGGAATTACTTCATTCCATTGTAAATGAATTATGAAATCTCTTCAGCTCTTGTTTATGAGACTTTCATTTTATCACACCGGAAGTTTCAATTTTAATGGTACAAACAGTTAATACATTTTCCGGAGTTGTTTTCAATTGAAATTCATTCCAGGAGATTTACACAGAGAAAAATACGAATTCACTTCAATTTTATAATATTCTCAAAAAAAAAAAACAAAGTACTTGAAGAAAGTCCGTGGATCTCGGTACGTGGGGATGAATTTTAATACGGAAATCGTGGGGTTGGGACAGGGTATGTCCATGTTTTCATCCCCCAACGAAAATATCGCAATATGAACATTTCAATTTATTTCTCCCGTCCATCTTTATTAAATTCCTCCATGAGGACAACCGCAGGGGTTCCCCGGGCAATATAAAACTTCGGTTCGATTTAATTCGAATTCAATTATAGTTCGCCTCGATATTAAACTCTGACATGTATCCCGGGTATTGTTTCTCCCAGAAACTTGGCTCTCACCAAAACCACGGATACCAATGGCATAATAAACTGAGAATAGTATCACGTATCTCCTGCCCGTAGATTTTCCTGAAAATACATGCATCCGAGTATTTATACGGTCTTTCGTGAAAAACCTCTCAGTTTTCGCATGAATAAAATCGTATACATGCTCCGTAGAAAATTTTTAAATTACCCCGGGGGACACTTTTCCTGGGATGAAATAAAATAAAATAGACAGCTGGGAAAATGTCATTTCACCCAAAATTTATGGCACCGCTCTAGTCTAAATCCGCGATATTTCTACATCTGCAATAATCGGAAATAAAAATCGAGGATATCGATCTTTTAAAAGAGGTAATTTCGATCATTTCGGGATATTCATGATTTTGGTGATCAATGCGATTTCATTCTGACAGTCAATCGATATCCCTATAAAAAAAATCTAATGTAAAGTTTTTTGAGGCCGGTTTATTCGATATATATATATTTATATATTTTTATTATATTTTTATTTTAAAATTGGTTCTTTCGTCCTTTTTTTTTCGTGCTTTAAAAATTCGTGTAATTTTCTTTTACAAACGGGAAATCTTCAAAAAAACATTACATTAGACCTTTTAATTTAATAATCTCTCTGATTCTAGCTCAGAGTCTGAATCTGAATATTTGAATTCCTTGAATTAAAAAATTTCTTTGAAATTCCTTGAATGTTTGAATCTGAATGTTTAAAAAAAATTCACCAGAAATTTCGGAGACAGATTTGTGGCAATGACGACGATTGTGAGCTCATGTGGTAATTACAATTCTATCATACATGAAATAAAAAAGGGAGGAAGCATTGGGGTACGAAATGAGCAGCTATGATGCATGCAAATAAACACATAACATACGTCAGAGAATGTCAAAACTTTCTACTTCATCTCGTCAGTGCATCATGGATCTGTAATAAACCTACATCAACATCTCGCATAAATACTATTTTTCCCCTTTCCTTCTCATTATTCCACCGGTCTTACACGTGCCAAACGAATCGTATTTTCTTGTTTATGAGTATCAAATAAAAAAGTGAAGTGAAGTGAAGTTCTCCGTAATTATCTCGCTCACTGATAAATTTTCTACTTCCAATTATCGTTTGCAGGAGTTGTAAAGGTTTTTTACTGGTTTATTTTTTTAATAGCGAGATAAGATGAGAGTCGGAGTGGCGGTCTGTGAATTTGGAAGTTTTATCGGATTTTGGATAAAAATGGTTGGCAATTTATATTTTTTGGGGATTTCGTTTTAGTTCTGGCTGGGGTTTTCGAGGTGATGGTAATGACTGGATTTTCCGAGGGGAAGTCACGTGGTATGAATGTGATTAGAGGATGTGGGGTGGTCTTTGGGGGTGTCACGTGCTTCCAATCACGTGTTGAAAGCTTCTGGGAGCTTGAGTACTTCGGCTTTTGATCTTGAGTGGTATAGGTTGCGTCGAAGATGCTGTCGGGCTGGATGACCTCTCAGAATACCCTTTTCATTCCCTGAATTTAAATTATTTAAAGTAGATTTAATTATATAATTAGTACTTTGAGTTTATATACTCAATATTAATTTTATTGGAAATTTCTTGTTGTAGGATTTTTTACTGCGATTTTTATATCATTTATTTTCATTTATATTTTATTTTCTGTTGCAGGTATCGCAGTCAGTCTGAGATCTGCCGATTGTGCAAAGGTGAGGTAATCATTTATATTCAGCTCTGGTCATAGTTTTCAGCGATAATGTCAATTTCTCTTGCCACTCAATCTCAATTATGAAATCCAATTATTCAGTCACTACTCGGGTGAAAAACAATTCTAATCGGAATATTTTTTTCCGAATTTTCAAAAAAATTCTGGAAAGCTTTTCAGAAAAGGTTTTTTGTGAAACGAAAAAAATTGGAAAACGAAACAATTTTATTTTTCGAAAAGGTTTTGAAAAGTTTTTCCAAAATTTGAATATGAATTTTTTTTTATAATTTAGATGGCGTTTTTTTTCAGAATATGGAAAAATCAAAAAAGTAAGAAAACAATACTATAGTTACAAGAAAAATTATATTCGCAAAAATTTCTGGAGAATTATAAAAAAAATTCCCGGAAGAAATTTTTGGAAAATTTCTGAGAAATTTTGGAAAATTTGGAAAAAATATTCTGATTACAATTTTTTTTCCTCGGGTATCTTCTCTAAATTTCAATATCTCACACCCCGATTTCTAGTATACGACTTTAGAGATGCAATAACCCAAAGTTGGAGGAGACGTGAAAACTTTGCAGGACTAATACAATTACGTGAACTGGCTTTCACGTAATTTCCAGATATTCCTTGGCAAGTTGATACTGGATATCATTGGACGAATAAATTCGCGTGATTCTCGCAATCTGAATTTCAAACTTGCTGCGCATATCCGAATAATAGATATGACTGTTCCTTGAAGTGGAGGTGAAAATCAAAATTTATGAATTGCTTGCATTATTCAGAAGTTGGTCAGAACTTTGTCTGCATAATTAACTCCAGGATTTGCTGGTGACACTCGTCAGTGGGAATTAATCAATTCAGTCGAATTGTTCCACCACTTGGCGTGAATAGTCCGAGGGTAAATATTCTCGGAGATATTTGTCCGGTAGGAAAGATGCTTTCATGTTTACACGAGTGCTTTCTCATGTTGAAACTGTTCTGACACCATAACTCCACTGTGCACGACAATTTTACGCAGTGACATGGACTAGCGTAAACAAAAATGGACATTTCCATCCAATTTTTAAGCCCCTATCAAAAAACAAATAAAAAATATCCATAATATTCATTGAAATTAAAATTAATTAATTGAACTGAAATATATTTTAAGAACGAGAGAATTCTTTCAAATCTTGAGGAATGACATAAAAAATTTGATGACACTTCACATTTCATGACTCTTTACCGTTTCTTAAGGTAATTTTTACGCCATTCGCATGGGAATTTTTCCACCTGTTTTCCGCCTGTGCAATGAGGTTTGAACCTGGAATTGACGGTGAGGGCTTTAATCTCATCCCGGTGTTAATTTTCCTTGTGATTTTTCTCGTCGGGTTTGTTTTCTCGATGTCCAGTGTTTTCTTTCCGTCACAAAAGCCGTTACGAGCGAGAATCCCATTGGCCGCTGGCGAAGATGCGCATAATACCCCGTTACGTCAGTCTGGAACTAGACTCGAGAATTCCCCATTGTTTTGCCAATCTGATGCACCACCGGAAGCTCGACGCTTCTGTACTTGAGATAAGGTAAATATCTCCCTTGGTATGACCACTGGAAACTGACGGACGTACCCCGCCCCCTCATCGCTCTTTTACTACTGGCTATTTCGATGGGATAATGGGCCAGTCGAAAATGAATTTTCAGATTTTCCCCAGGACCCCAACAAACGAGAACGGAATTCATTCATTTTTCCATATCCCCCGCTAAAAAATATAAAAATCAATAAAATATTTAGAAAAAATTCTGAAAAAAAACCCGAGAGAAAATTCTCTGAATTTTCCTCCAATAAAAAAAACATATTTGATATTCCCTATGTTTTCTTAGAGATGAATTGTTTACATCAGGAGGAATGACTTTGGCATGAATTTTGAAGGTAGAATAGTATCTCGTAATTTCTGGTGTTGATTCTTTTATCCCCAGCTGTTGTGAATACAGACGAAGGAACTCCGTTACAGTCTCTTCGCCCCAGACATTGTCCCGTAAAGAACATTGGAGCACTGTTCAACGAACATCCTGTGCCACTCTTTCGTTCACCTCAGCGTACATCCGTGTACATCTGTCTCGGAATTTTTTTACACCACCCAACAAGGGACCTTTTTCACCCCGTCTCTATCTTCCTCAACTTCTCTTTTCCTCCGCCAACTTGTTTTCCAGCTACATTCTATCTCTTGTATTTACGAACATTTCTCTCACGTGTATATCTACGCGTATTGTTCCGTAACGCTCGTAACGCTCGAGTTCGCCGTTACGCTATTGTATCCTTCGATCGTTTGCGTCTCCCGCACCCAACAACCAGTGACATTACACTCGATTGTCCCTTATTCTGTCAAAACACTCCTCCTTCACCACCTGCACTTCTCTCCCTCTGCGAATTCCCATAAAATCCGCAGAAATCGACATTTTCCACACGGCGTGCGTAAAGTGGCATTTTACGCACGCCCCGCAATATTCTGTCAAAACACTCCTTCACCACCGGCACTTGTTCACTCCCTCTGCTAATGCCCAGAAAAGCTGGCAAAATCAATATTTTTACCCCACCGTGCGTAAAGTGGTATTTTACGCACCCGGGGCGTGCATAAAACTCCACGTTCAACCCCTTTGTTTAGACTCGTGGGATTATATCATTAGAATACTTGTCTTTAGCTCCAGCTATCAACCTCCCACGAGGCCAAATATTTTCAACATGACTCTTATCACTTCACGACACGTAGAAATGATTGATGAAGAGGAATCGTGGCTCTCTCGCCGATTGGAGTACAAAAGAGCCTTGGGAAGTGAACTTGCACGAATTCCGCTGCCGAAGGTTATGCGACTCGAATAAACTTCCACGGATGCGTAACACAGACGACGTGTCTCCATTTCCGTTTCATTCCTCTTCTCCTTTAGTAGAGTTAAATTTTCTCCAGGGCAGCATTACATCAACCCTTCTCTGGGGATGTTCAACCGGATGTTATTCAATCCACTTCTTGTACGAAATTCGAAAAAATTAACAAATTGTGCTTTGAGAGGATATGAAATATCCACTGCCACCGGAATAACTTTTTCTTTGAACATCAAAGGAGAACCCTAAAAAGGGAATACTAATGCGAGCTATTTAATTTTTGTAAAATAATTGAATTTCCCTGTTCCGTGATAAAACGAAATTTTTATTTGTTCGTATAAAATTTTTATTCTCGCGTTCGCAATTGCAGTTCCATTTCCAACCTGGGATATGAATTTCATAATTAAAGCTGACGGTAGGATTTTTATTATCCACTTTCGTCAGAGATAAAATTTTAATATCATTTTTATTTTTTCCTAATGTCTTGCCCGATGAACTCGTCATTCTGGATTTATCTGAGATTAATCTGATCTCCAAAGGTTGCAATTATAATTAATACCCCACAGGATGTCAATCCCTTTCTCTTTCAAGTCTCATCATAAAGAGTATCCCGGGTAAAAAAAAATTGTAATAGGAATATTTTTTCCAAATTTAAAAAAATTGTCTGGAAAACTTTTCGGATTTTTTTTTTGCAACAAAAAAAAATTGGGAAAGAAAACAATTGTATTTCTGGGAAATGATTTCGAAAATTTTTCAAACATTTGTTTCGGAAAATATTTTTTATAATTTTCTCGAAATTTTTGCGAATATAATTTTTTTTCTTCATTATACTGTTGTTTTCTTCCTTTTTTGATTTTTCAATATTCTCAAAAAAACGCCATCTAAATTATAAAAAAAATGTTCCCATTCAAATTTTTCAAAAATTTCTCAAAACCTTTCCGGAAAATAAGCTTCTTTTTTTTTCCAATTTTTTTTTGTTCGATAAAAAAATTTCTGAAAAGTTTTCCAGAAATGTTTGAAAATTCGGAAAAAATATTCCGATTACTTTTTTTGCCCGGGATACGTTTCTCCTTGAATGTTTTTTTTTTTTCACTTCATGGTACTTTATTACCACTGAGTGCTAATAAAAACAGCGACCGGGAGCATCTCCGAGTATATGGTACCTCTATGGAGACGCTTTTAGACGTACGAGACGTACATATCCTACTTTCACTGAGCGTCTCATCTTGTAATTGCAATGTGAATTTGTACCGAGTATTCTAAAGTCGTTCGTGTATTTACACGCTATTTTGGAGTTTAGCGGGATTGAAAGTGTAACGTCATTTTAAATCCTCTCGCAGTGCCATTTCTAATAATTATTCTTCCAATTGCGCGACGAAAAAATTTACAATCAAATATATCAAGAGGAATCACGCAAAAATTTGCAATTCAATTTTTTCGCAGATGAGAAAATTCATAACGATTGCTATTCCTCAAATTCCACAATTTTCAATATAATATGAGTTCAAATAAATAATTACATTATAAATTATTCATTAAAAAAAAACATTACCAACAATTTTCTTTAATTCAATTACTCCATGAATTTTTTTGTATTGACTTTTATTTTTTAAATAGTTTTCAATAAAATAATTTACTTTATTCAATTTATTTATTTTTATTTAATGCAAAATTGGTGGTTAATGGAAGTTTGTGTTTAATTTTGAATATTGAAGAGCAGTTCAGGGGGAAATACGGAAAAATAATGAAAATATAGGATCAGTTGAGAATAATTCGTCAAATATTCGAGGATGCTTCCCAACGCACCTCTGGATTTCACATTTCTACCTTTCCCTCGTAAGTCCTTGAGACCCGGTGCTGGTAAAACTAGAGCAAAACCCGTTGCCCTGGTAAAGGTCTGATCCTCTCTCGGCAAATGGCATCGCGTGCCTCGCAACATCGGGATTACTCGTGTTTTCTACCTACAAGTAACATTAAATCTCCTGAGATTCGCGCAAGTGTGCCCTCTAAAAGAGCCACAAATAATTTGCCCAATATCAATTACTGGCGCTGAACAGAAAAAAAATGGTGTCAAATTTTCGCCAGTCCGTTGATTCCACTGAATTAATTAATGAAATATTAAAAAAAAATTGTAATCGGAATATTTTTTCTAAATTTGCAAAAAATTTCTGGAAAACTTATCAGAAAGTTTTTCTTTCGAAACAAAAAAAAATTGGGAAACAAAACAGGTGTATTTTTGGAAAATGCTTTGAAAAGTTTTTCAAAGATTTGTTTCGGAAATTTTTTAAATAATTTTCTAGAAATTTTTGCGAATATAATTTTATAAGAAGATTATAAGATAAGATAATAGATTGAGATTATAAAAAAAAAATTCAAAACCTTTCCAAAAAATAAAATTGTTTTGTTTCCCGATTTTTTTTTGGTTCACAAAAAAAATTCTGAAAAATTCTTCAGAAATTTTTTGGAAATTCGAAAAAAATATTCCGATAACATTTTTTTTCACCCGAATAATCAAAGAGATTATTCATTGGTGAAATCACCGAATCACATTAATGGAAATCAAATGAAAATATGAAATGGGCAGAAAAATCCGTCGAAATCAATTCCACTCCGAAATCATGTAAAATCCGCAATTATCTGAATGAATCACCAATTGATGATTCCGAAAATAATGAATTCGAGTCAAATTTCAAGAAATTGAAGCATGCAAATGAAAATAGAAAATTCTCCTTTATACTCTGTCGCTGTTAAATATTTCAAGTGTAATTTTCCAACGAAGAGTCCACGGATGGATTCAATTTTTCCCAAGGCCTCTGCCGATAAATCACTGAGGGCGGGTGAGTCCTCTTCATGAAAGTGAAATTTTCATGTCGCTTTCTCTGGAGTTTGCGGCACTTCCGGGCCCGGGGGATTCAATCTACCCGGATTCACAGCTGAACCGATAGAAATCTGACAATTCCGCAGATAATGGGTTTATAAAAGTCTGATGATCAGTGAATACGGGGCAAGGGGTGGGTTGTTTTGTCTTTTTTTACCTAATGGCGAGAAAAACAGGGGTGGAATGAGGGCGAGGCGGCGTCATTTCCGGAGGATGTTGTGCTGAAAGGAAAGCACAACGGGCGTTGGTTCCAGCGGTTAATGGTTATGAACGGGTGAGGGTAGTTTCCTTTCCATGTCGACAACCAACGGCTTTCCCGGAGTTTCGTTAACCCAGGAGTTCGACCAGGTCGGTCTCTAAGAAAATACTAGTATCCATTTTTCTCAGAAAAATCTCCTTAATTTATTAAAAAACAAGAGAATAGTCTACAATTTCCTTTTAAACCAATTCTTATATATAAATATGAATTTTTTAAAATTATTCATTTCAAATTTTTGGTGAAAGAGAATACCACCGAATACCACTAGCTTGATAAAATTTATTTGATGTATTGACTAGCCGTCAACCAACATTGAAACTTCAACATCGCTCCCAATTAGGCAACGTCCCAATTAGGACTGGATCATACATGATCTTTGTGAAATTCATACCAACCGCGTCCCCGTCGCGAATCCTGGGTAACGCCGAGCGCTGAGTTTTTAATTGAAGAATGATGCACTCCTATTTATAATTATCAAACTTCCAGGAATCCGAAGACTCCGAACGTGCGAGATTACCGGAGCTCCTGACGGAGCTTGACCTTGCGAGTCTCGAGGCCTCGGAGGAGGACATCGATGCCCTGAAGAAAGTTGTGAAACGTCTCGCCCCGGCGAAAAATGGCGAGTACCAAGTCTTCCAAGGTTGTTAATCTCCCGGACTAATAAGCGATATAACTCCCCCAGTAAATTAACTCACTGTAATTTCTTTCTCCCCAAATTGCCCCAGTTTTCTTCGGGAACGAGGAGCTCCTGAAAGAGTGGCTGTCTGGAGCGGGTAGCTATAACACTAACCACTGTCATCAGCACATAATATTCTTTCCCATTAAATAGTAGCTAGTGACCATAACACTGAACATAACGATCCTCCACGTAACAAAATATTCCACCTTCAATTGGTCAATCATTTATAATTACTTGTGATAATTGTAGGTTTGGGTCAGCCAGGCGTTGACTTCCCCATGCTGACGACAATTCCAACAACAGCATTCAGCTGTCGAGGGCTGAAGGGCGGCTACTACGCTGATTTGGAAACAAATTGCCAGGTGAATCCTCTCCTAAAGATTACTCCTCCCGTCAAATCTATCACCACTTCACGGCAAATGACTCCAACACATTTCCGAAACCTCGTAGAAGAAAACCTGTTTTTCTGATTAGTATCTAAAGATGAAAAAATGAATGATAATTTTTTAATTCTAGGTTTTCCACATCTGCGATAACGGTCGAAAGATCTCATTCCTCTGCCCCAATGGCACAATCTTCCAGCAATCTCAGCTGATCTGCGACTGGTGGTTCAAGGTCGACTGCAGCAAGTCTACTGAGCTGTATGAGCAAAGCGCTGAACAGCTAGCCCAAGAGGAGCGCAAACGTGCCGATTTAAAACGCGTCAACTCCGAGTTCCATCGATCTGACAACAATTATCAAAATTCAAATTACGACGGTAAACAAAATGGCCGAACAAATCCATACGGTACCTCAAAGAACCAGCTTGACCAGCGTCCTGCCGATGCTAAATCATCTCGCACATTTGACCCAAGTCAAATCTACAATCAAAACTCCCGAAGTGGCAATCAATTCTCCCAGATCAACGATCTCGCTTCGAATTCCGGATTCACCCCATCTCATGAGTCAAAGGGAAAAAATCAAGAATCATATGCACCCCAATCCCGCACCTCAAATTACCAAAACATCGAGAGACAGCAGAATCAGCTTATCGAGGACCGCAGTGGAAAGCAATTCCAGGATCAAAGAGGCTCAAGCAAATACTCCTCGCTAGATAATTATTACACAACGGTGGGATCCCGGGATAATTCCCGAACTCCAAAATCCCGATCCCCTCACGACGATGAAGGTATCACAAGTCGTGGAACCCCGGCTTACACAGAAACCACAACATTCCGCACAAGTACACCCACTCCAATAAAGGAATATCAACAGCCAGCCGAGAGTGCAGCGTTTGCATCATCCCGGGGAAATCGATATAATAAGCCATACAATTCAAATCAGTACAACAGTTATTACAATCCAGCGACAAACGCTCCCCCACGAAGACCCACATTGCCACCAATTACATCGAAACCTCGTCAAGAGACGCCCCAGGGTATTCTAAAGCCAAAAGTCAAGATTCCGGACTATCCCTATCCAACATTTACCCCAATCTACCGTCCCCGCACAACAACCTACGACTCAACAACACAAACAACATCACCCCCCCAGACAAACACCTACTACAACCGCGATCGCACAACCAACTGGGAGACAACGACAAATTTATATACAACCGGTCAAGATTATCGCACAACCACTGAAACCATTTACCCAGAAGACACCACCAATACGTATCGCGGATCTCGCGTTACATCCACCGCGTACACAGCTACAACTTCAACTCCACCGACCACCTACATCAATTCCGAGACGTACGACAACAGCGTTGATACCCGAGATTATGCACGTACAGCTTACACAACGAGAGCATCACCAAGTATTACCCAGAGATATTCAACTGGTAGTCCATCCAGTGGTTTCCCTGCCACAGCAATTACCAAGTCAGCTATCAACGGTGTCACAGTGGATCAGAATTCGCTGAGTACTCACACCCAAGATGATAAACTTGGACGAACTAAGACATCATGGAAGAGTACCTCCCGAACATCCCAGAACTATCGGCAAAACGCTATAAGTCCATCCACTGAGAAGCCCCGTATAACTCAAGTTTCACCGCAGTCTCAAACTTCAAAAACTTCACCCCCTTACGACACGAGTATAACTTATCAAAATGGCAAGGTCATGTCGACATTAGGACCCTACGTGCCATTCACCAAGAATTATGCATACACGACGAGTACAGCGACTACTCAGCGTCCCGCAGTTTATACAGCCACTGTGCCAACCTATAGTACACCACAACCTCAGTATCGATCCAGTGCGAAAGCTGGAAGAATCCAGTATCCAGCGTCAGTCAACCGAGTACGTGGCAGTTCGACATACCTGCCTGACGCCAATTCAACTGTAAAACGCCCGTCAGATTCTAAATCACTGATAGAACGTGAACATGCATTCAATATGCTGGAATCACTGAGAGGTCTGGAGGGCACTATGCCGACTATTATTGGAAATACCAGCAGAAGTGGATTGACTATACCGCATTCCTCTAGCCCAGCAACTCTCCATTCTCTTGCTCTCTATTTTGCAACTGCTAGTGACGAATTCGGTGGATCTGATCAGGGGAAGACCGAGGAGTCTGCCGAAAAGCTACAGACTCCACTTCAAATTAATAAAACCGCAAAGATTGATCTTCCAACCACAATACTTACCGAGCACACGATAAACTCGTACGCAGAGCTGTTCAATCTCAACAATGCCCTCGAGACGAGCTCCAACAGCACTGAATCCGAGCAACAGAGTGGAGAAGTTGATTCCAATGATGACTTGGATCTTCAGCAGAGCGAGGGCCCAGTGACAGGTTCAAAAAAATCGAATAGCACTAAACTTCGGGAGCTTGCGCAAGTGTTCACACATGCATTATCAGCTTATCTTCAGGATCCTGCGACCTTCAAGAAGATCCTGGCTGAGATAAGACCGACTGCACCCCCAGGGCTGGACAATGAAGACGGATTCACCACGACGTCGATTCCTACCACTTCCGAGGACTACCCATCAGTCACAAAGGAGAAGGACGAAGTCCTGGACTTCTCGGAGGACGTCACTGCCCCCCGAAGACCAATTCTTCAGACAACCACAGAAATACCAACGACAACAGACGACGCAGGCTTCGGGTACTACACCACGTCTGTTACCTCGGAGTCCCAGTCCTCTAGCACCCTTCCACCCCCGGGTGATCAGAATTATTTGAATCCAACGAATGACTTTGCTTCAGCAGTGAACCACGCCTTCGACTCATCCAATGGAATCCAGAGCTTGTCCGGCCCCAGTGCTCCCAGTGGACCCACCTCCAACGATGCTCTCAACGACTACGAGAATTACTTTCCGGATACCCATCGACTAGGTGATTCCCACCGAAACTCCACTTACGAGCCCTACGGCAAATACGTTAAGCCAGTGAACTCAGTGCCAATTGGCGACAATTACGTTTCCTCGTCGACCCCAGCTACCTACCAGCAGACATTACCGCCGGAGAATCCTGGTGGCAATGTAATAACGTCCAATAAAAATTACAGAACTACCGGGGAGAACTCTGGTGAGCAGACGGAATCACCGGACGTAACGACCACAGTCGAGCCATTTCGTATCCGCTACTACGATACAACGACAATACGATCCGACGATAGTGACGAGTCGCTAGTTACAGCGAACAGCATCTACTCGAGTTACAACAATTACAATCGTCTGAATAATGCAGGTAGTGATGACAGTCGAGATGACACCGAGATATCTGAGATATCTGACCACAAAGAGGACGATGAGAAAAGCCATAACAATCACTGGACGTCATCGCCAACGGTGACCCAATTGTGGGAGAGTACAGTCTTCGTTGATCCAAAGCGTATAAATCAAGGATTGACATCGGAAGGTGTCAGTCAGACGTCGAGTGTGGAAGCATTCGGTAATGATCCCACCACCACAACGCATTCGTCAGTGCCAGTGACATCGGAGCTTTTGGTGACAGATGCATCGGGTGGTGTTACTTCAAGGAATAGTAACAGGGGCTCGGATCCAACGACTCCGTGGCAATGGGGTAACACCGACACCGACTCACCCACGGCATTCAGTCTTCTGCCAACGGCTTATTCAACTGAGCACACAGCAACACCCGCACCAATTTATACCACCAGATCGAGCATAACGACGACGATAACGTCGTCAGTTATTTCAACGAGTTCGTTGCCCCAGGCATCCTTGTTTCCGGTCAAAGCTAGATTCAAGAATACAATTGGCAATGCCACGGAGAACGAGATTGTCAGGGCCAAACAGATGTTTGGAGGACTCAATGATACCAGCACCGATGCTTTAATGAGGGTGATGAAGACCGCTGATCATAATGCAACGGTCAGGCAACTTGTTCTGCTGTTGATCAGCCACTGCACTGGACCGATGAATAAAACTAGGGAGGAGGAGAAGGAACAGCTGCTCAATGCACTGCTGAGCATGCCAGTTAATCAATTCACATCGGAGGAGTCGAAGGAGCTCGTCGCTGGGCTAAATAGGCTCAATATCCCGGATGACCTCGAGACACGAAGCACTACGAGAATTGTAACGTCTACGGAGCCCGTTGCCACGACTTTCAGGAGCAAAAAATCGAGGAGAATCAAGTCCAATGGGGATGAATCAACAGTGGAAGGGAGGGGGCGAGATTCAAGGGGAACTGAGGAGGAGACCAGTGTGTCTGATGGAAGGGCCCTGGAGCTGCTGCGCTCACTTTATACTGTCGCTGCCAAATGGGGTTGAAGCCTTCTGGTACATCCGGATTTGCTCATGATTATATTCTTCGGAGGGGGAATTTTAATGTCGTGTTGTTCCGGGTCAGGGTGAGGAGGATTCGCTGGCCAGCAATGAATCAATCTTTTGATTAGTTTGATTATTATTTTTTTAGGTTCTTGTGTGTGAGGGTTTGGGCAAATTTGGAACAAATTGCTGATGAATGCGTTAATTAGGTTGTTATGTGGGTGGATGAGAGGGGTTGGATGCTGGGTGTCTTTATTAATTAATAATTGAAGTGTGCTCTCAGCTTGTAAGGTAATTGGGGTAAATTCAATGGGCATCTTTCTATGAGTTACGGTTTTTTAAAGTAGGAGTTGTACTTAATTCCCTCGGCTCATGGTTTATGAGGTATGTTGAGGGCTGGGGGATGTTCGTCGGGTAGGTTTTAAGGAATTGAAAGGGAATTGGATGCACCGGAAACTTTTCTGGTGCTCTGGTGCCGATTAGGGCCGGATTTGGGGTAGTCTGAGGCTATCCGGATCACCCGAGTTAGTGATTGAGTTTTTCGAGCTCGAGCTTGATGATTTTATGTAAAATATGTTTGTACAGAGTGTGAATAAATAAATATGGGTTTTGTTAATAAATTGGTGTTTTTTTTGGGGGGTGGCTCTCTGGCGGGTTGATTTTTTCAAGTGAAAATTTTTGTAGCCAACGGCTGCATGTGTATTGGAAATATTATCGAAATGTTGAGAAATCTTTTTTATGACGGAATCGATTTTTTAAATAATAAGTTTTCAATTTTCTGACAATTGTCAATGAGACATTTAAAAAAAATGTAATATTTGAAAATGAAAATTTTCAGATTGATTCTGGTTTTTAATTTTTAATAATAATTATTCAGGAGTTATGGTTTAAATATCATGAATATTGCTGGACTGTTTCTCGTAGGGAGAGATTTCTTGAATCCCCGCAATTCTGATTCTGGGTAAGTAATATTCCTGGTGGACGTGCGCGATCGCGATCCGAGAATATTCTGGAGAATCTGGAGAATTTCTGGATTTACGAATGCATCAACATCAGAGAGAATTCCGTACTCACTGTTCTTTGGAAATGTTTCAAACATTGATATTGAAATTTCCACCATTTTCTTTGATTAGTTCGCGGAATTAATTGCTCGGGGGAAATTGATTGCAGTGGAGTGGAGGGGGGGAATGGTTGGAATGGAATGCAGGAGCTATTGGGGATGGGTACAGGTCAATTAGCTAGGGTTATTAGAGGTGGGTACACAAGTTTCGTCAAATAACATGGAAATTCTCTCGTTAATATAAATTAATCAAGGAATTCGACAAATAATTGCTTGCTTTCCACGGAGCAATCGGAATTCAGATATAAATTGCTTTTTGCAGAGATAATCTATTTTCCATTCAACTCGCGATATTTTAAGCCCCGGCTGCGGTTATTGGATAATTACCCTTGAAATTCGAAAATTAATACTCATTTGAAAAGCAGAGTATTCCGGAGTCCCGGGAAAAAAAATTGTAATCGGAATATTTTTTCCAATTTTTCAAAAAATTTCTGGAAAACTTTTCAGATAATTTTTGTTTTGAAACAAAAAAAAATGGGGGAACAAAAGAATTGTATTTTTGGGGAATGTTGTGAAAATGTTTTCAAAAATTTCTTTCGGAAATTTTTTCATTTTTTGAAAAATTGGCACTTGAAAAATTTTTTGAAAAACTCACCAATCTCGCAATAATGGGAATTCCCGGGAGAAGCGGACAGTTCTGACTTGCCGACGGACCGCAGATCCGAAATGACGGCGAATTGGCCCTCGTGGAGTGATTTAAAAATTTTTCGCTTTTTGAAAAATCGGCACCTGAAAAATTAAAAAAAAAAATTCACCAATCTCGTAATAATGGGAATCCCCGGGAGAAGCGAACAGTTCTGAGTTGCGGATGCACCGCACAGCCGAAATCAGGGCGAATTAGTCCTCGTGAAGTGATTTAAAAATTTTTCACTTTTTGAAAAATTGGCACCTGAAAAATTTAAAAAAAAATTCACCAATCTCGTAATAATGGGAATTCCCGGGAGAAGCGAACAGTTCTGAGTTGCGAATGCACCGCACATCCAAAATCAGGGCGAATTATTCCTCGTGGAGTGATTTAAAAATTTTTCACTTTTTGAAAAATTGGCACCTGAAAAATTAAAAAAAAAATTCACCAATCTCGTAATAATGGGAATTCCCGGAAGAAGCGAACAGTTCAGAGTTGCGGACGCACCGCACATGCGCAATAAGGGCAAATTAGCCCTCGTGAGCCCTCCAGCTAAGAAGTGCATAAAATCATAAATTCGATAGACTTATTAAAATCTGATGTCATCGAGCAGACTTGACCGCATTCCAAGGAGAAATAATTCTCGCCGTCATCGGAGAAGAACAAAGCAATTCCTACAATTAATTAAACATTTTAGCATCAACCTGCCACCCAGCCCTGAACTGCCCGAAGAAGTCATTTACATTCTCCAAGAATTAATCATACCCATAAAGATAAAAAGACCTTAGAAAAAGGCAATTGAAATTTCAAATGAAAAAATATAAAAAAAAATATAAATATAAAAATAAAAAATATTACACTACAATCAAAATTTCAAATGAAAAAATATAAAAAAAATTATAAATATAAAAATAAAAAATATTACACTGCAGTTATTTTACGGTGAATAAAAAAAAAATTTTAATGGTAAAATCATACCAGCAAAATGGAGGATTCCGAAATCGATTGTAGGTCTCTTCGTAATTGTGAAAATATTGACCTTTCAACCGTTAGTTCGAGCACTAGAGCGAAAAGACATAATTATAGAAAAGAAACCCTCTCTCGTATCTCGATCATAAACTCCTCATCTTGTTTTTTTTTTCACTGCAGTCATTTTCCCCGGTTCACTATGACTTTTTCCACGATAAACATCAGACCTCGCAACCGCGAAACTCTTGCGTTCGGTGTATCATATCGTCATGATTGATTGCCCCAGTGTCACGAAGACGTTTTAGATGCATCTACTGAAGGAAGAGATATGAAAAAAAAAACATCCTTTGTGCATCCAGGAGAGGTAACACTTTTTCGATGGTATCGGAGGGAGAATTATGTTTTAAAAATGAGCTCTTGCTGTTTTGAAAGATTACGTCGGTGTTCGTTTTCAGGTCATTGTGCTCATCAGAATTATTTTTCGGGTGGGATATCTAATTTCCTGAAAGGATTCTTGGGATGATGTCATTGTTCTATTCCGTAATTCATATCCTGAAAATGCATCAGGGTATGAGGAGACGCGCATTCTCGAGGCGAATACAAACGAATGTTTATTTTTACGTAATAAACCACTGGGTAATGGATTATACGGAGGTGCGAGTAACTTTATAGTCTTTTTCTTGTGGGAACACGTTGAAATGTCAGGTATAGGCACACGTGTGCTTATCAGTCGGTAATTTCCTTAAATTAAGTGTCACGGATGTAAGAGTTTTGGCTCCGGCTGCGGCGATTGCGCAGTCGTTTGAATCATTCATCATGGAATCATGGAATATGGGCAAATCTTATGGGTTTCTATGTCTAATGGTGGGTGGTATTCCCACAGGCATCAGTTCACATGAAAAATCAGGTACAATGACAGTAATTCAAATGTACCTGGGTAAAAAAAATTGCAATCGGAATATTCTTTCCAAATATTCAAAAAATTTCTGGAAGACTTTTCATGAATTTTTTTTTATAAAACAGAAAAAAAATCGGTACACAAAAGAATTTTATTTTTGGGAAAGGTTTTGAAAATCTTTTCAAAAATTGGAATAGGAAAATTTTTTTTATCATTTAGATGGCGTTTTTTTATAGAATATTGAAAAATCAAAAAAGTATGAAAAGAACAGTATAATTAAAAAAAAAAATTATATTCGCAATGATTTCTAGAAAATTATAAAAAAACTTTTCCGAAAGAAATTTTTTGAAAATTTGAAAAAAATATTCCGATTACAATTTTTTTTACCCGGGTAACTCAAGATTTTTCATTTCCATTTGAATTTTAATTTGAATCTTCCGTTTTCATTTTAATTTCAATTTTTCATTTTAAACTTTTATTTTTTATTCTAATTCTTCAATTCTAGGTTTTGATTTTTCATTTGAATTGAATTTGATTTTTTTTTCAAAGTCCAATCGCTTCGAAATCGATTCATATCGTTATGAGTAACTATCGAAACGTCAATTATGACTCTCACAAAACCTTCGCAAATGCATTTGCAAAGGAGAATTTCATCAACGGTGGTTTCATGAAGTGGACACAAGTGGAAGACGAGAGCATCAGAGGTCCTCATAACACCAGCCACACCACGAGTTATATTTCATCTCTCGAATGGGACGCTCCCGTCATTTACAGGGCAATAAATCTTGCGTTACTTCACCTACGTCCCGTGTTAGCCAAGAAAATCCCCCATAATACTCAATGAAAAAGATCCACTTTATGTATTTCTATGTGCACGTAAAGAACGAGAGGTCATGCATTCGAAATTCCACCCGCCCCTCACCAACATTGTACTTTATCGTTTATTACATTTTTAGAAAAAAATCTGCCTCTCGAAGTCTTCATGGTTTTAATAATCCCATGAAAATGAATGACACCCGCAATTAGGGATGGTATCTCCGAGCAATCATCATCATTTTGTTATTCATGATTAAACGATACATGCACGAATGCAAAGTTCATGTGAGATAAAAGTAAACTGGTTAAATAATTACAAAAGAAATCGCAAGTCCACCTGTACTTGTAAATGCAAAGTGGAGATTACCATATCACATTTCGGTCCAGTTGAAATTACATTTGTGAAAATCCAGTTTTCATCTCCATTTCATTCGAAATGAGTCGCCATACTCGGGAGAGGAAGAGAGTTGAAACTGTAGGATCGCTAATTTAACGATGGCACCCTTTGAACATTGTTGGAACGAAATACACGAGCTCGTTTCGCTTCGTTTCTCATGAATATTCAGACAAATGGTTTTCGGTCGCCTGTAAAACGGACCCCAGACGAGACACTGAGGCTTGATAAAACCGAGAGGGATAACGATCCCTCGCTAATCCCTATCCGGTTTATTCTGATTTCCGGAAGTTAGAGGGAACACCTCTACGCGGTGATCACAAATTATCCAATTACCCGGGTAAAAAAAAATTGTAATCCGAATATTTTTTACAAATTTTCAAAACATTCCGGGAAAACTTCGGAAAAAAAAATCGGAAAACAGAACTATTTTATTTTTGGGAAAGGTTTTGAAAAATTTTTCAATAATTGGAAGACGAAAATTTTTTAAATAATTTAAATGGCGTATTTTTTGAAAATATTGGAAAATGAAAAAAATAAGAAAACAACGGTATAATTAAAAAAAAAATATACTCGCAAAAATTTCTAGAAAATAAAAAAAAAATTCCGAAACAAATTTTTGAAAAATTTTTCAAAACATTTCCTAAAAATACAATTGTTTTGTTTCCCGATTTTATTTATTTAAAAGAAAAATTTCTGAAGAGTTTTCCAGAAATTTTTTGAAAATGCAGAAAAAATATTCCGATTACAATTTTTTTTTACCCGGGTAACCAATGGGCTACCGCCTCCCCCCTCTCCCACCCCCTTCTAAAAAAAAACCAAATACCCCACGAAAAGTGTCACCATTTTGTTCCCACCTTATCGTATAAAATCGATTTTTATATAATTCCACCATTGAAAAAATAACTGGAAAATCCCCTAATTTTTCATAAAAATTTTTTTCCGTGGAATGACAAAATGATAGTAATTTTCCTGGGGTAAAAATTCCCGGGGAATATTTTTCAGATCCGAAAGATTATTGTTAACCACATGTGGGCGTGTGGGCTATTGTTCAGTAATATAATTTTCGATGAAGATTTTTCATCGTCACCCGTCGCCGGCTAATGCCAATGTGACCACAATGAATGGTATAAGGAATATGCAGACAATAATATGTCTTAACCTTTCTTCAAATATCAAATTTTTCCTGGCTCTCACGTAATGAGAAGAGTGAAAAATTTCTAGAGAACAAGAGAGGGATATATAAGGTTTTAATATGGTACTAAAAATAATATATAAATGATTTCTCATTTCGTCTTTTCATTTTCCTTTTTAACCCACCATTTTTTTTCATACCTGATCCCGATTTAATTCACTTTAAATTCATTTAAAATGGATAATTAAAAAATAATAATTTTCGTTACACCAGGATTTACTTTTAAACCGAAATTTTAAAAATATTTAAAAAATTTATAGCTATGTTTCCTTGTCTGGGACTTTCTAGTGCCAACCACTCTAATTTATAATGGCTTCTATTAACAAGTTTATGTTGATTAGTCATTTGAGTGTGAGATGCATCAAACTGCATAATACCTTACGAAGAAGATGCGGTGATACTTTCTCCTGTATGGAACCACGATTGTGCAGGAGAGTGAATCGTGCTCGTTAATTTGAGTGCTCACATGAGGTACTGAACGCGGAAATGTCGACCTGGCAAGTGTCGAAACCGGAACGTCAGGTTCGATCGATTCCATCAATGGAAGGCATAGGACATGCCACCGGACTGGAACCCCCAGGATATCCCATCACGTGAACCTTCGCCAGTAGTAAATTCCAAAGACTTCCAAGAATCTTCGCCTGAAATTTTAATTGTCATTTTTAATCAGTCGATTACAAACCGGAGAGATTGAGAAAAGGTCAATGGATTAAACACTTACCCGGGGCGGTGGATTGACCTTACAAGTAGTTTTGCCCGTGACAGTGATAGAACAACCGAAGAGACCAACCGGTTGCTGATTCCTCCAGTAACCATGTAACCGTGATCCCTCGAGTAACCTCCAATACCGATAGTTTACACCGGTGTTAACACAGTTGACACAATCGTGTACCAAGATTTATGGTCGAGGCGAATCATCAATGCATCGACCGAGAGAGAAACGAGATATAACCTTTCCGCTTTGTAACACTAATTCAATTTATTGTTCAATTTATTTATGACCGGCGATAACTTCCGGACACGACCCGAGGTACCGTATAGACGATAATTATTAATTAATCTAGAATTAATCTTTAATTTGAAGATTAAACACGGATTTTCTGTGAAGGTATTTGTCCTGTCGATTTCATCAGGAAAATTTTTTCTACGAAAAATAAATTCTACAACCCCATATTATCGATAATACCTGGAGCTGAACTTCTTGATCTCCTGCAAATGTGAATTAGTGATGGAGAATTTCTTTGGACAGGTTTAAAAATGAGGTGATCTCGTTGAACATATTAATAAGTGGCTCGACGAATATCGTGTGACTCAGTATTCAATTCTGAAATGGTAACGTCTAGTAAATGATGCATGAAGCAGAATTGCCACCAATTATGGTGATGATCCACTCTGCCAACAAGTTTGGGTACTCCATCTTGTGACCGAGTTGCAATGGCATATCCTTCGGAATAATTTTCTAGGGAATTGTGAAGTCCGCGTTCAACCGAAAAACTAGTTCTTATTGGGAGAGAATTCCGAATTGAGTGAGAAAGTTATAGAACATGAGGAACATATTGAGAATTCGGATTAAATCGCTCGACCATCCACATGGATCTGATGGTTAAGGATATTTTAAAAAATAATAACGTAAGATAGACCATCATGGGTACCACGTATGCAATATAATTACAATAGTTCTCACAGTTTGCGATAAAATACTTTTGCAATGCGAGAGAGACGGATAATTGTCTGTCCCAAGAGGTAAAATTAGCCCATTTATTCGGAGGTGAACAGCAGCTACTCCGAAATCATCATTTCAGCTCCGTCCGGGCTTATGAAATTGATTCTCATTGCAACGAAATCACCACGTTAATTTCCATATCGCAATTGCTGAAAATTCCCTGCTAAAAAAAATTGTAATTGGAATATTTTTTCAAATTTGCGAAATATTCCTGGAAAACTTTTCAAAATTTTTTTTATGAAACAAAAAAAAATGGGAGAACAAAACCATTTTATTTCTGGGAAAGGTTTTGAAAAATTTTTCAAAAATTTGAATCGGAAAATTTTTTTTATAATTTACATGGCGTAAGAAAACAGTATAATTAAAAAAAATTATATTCGCTAAAATTTCTAGAGAATGAACAAAATTTCGGAAACACATTTTTGAAATATTTTTCCAAACATTTTTCTAGAATTTTTTTGAAAATTTAGAAAAAATATTTCGATTACAATTTTTTTTTACCCGGGTAATGAAGCAATTTAACGATAAAATACCGGAGGGATCATCCAAACAAGTGATTGATCTGCACTTCGACATGACTGATCCCTTCATTCGACAATAACAGGAATAGAAACGAGAAACGAATTAACTTTTGATAGTTGAGCTCGATGTGGGTCAAGAAGTCTTATGCCAGAGTGAATGCATAAAGTTCGAGGTAGATAATTGACCGGTAAATATCGTTGTGAACTTTCGATCATATTGATTATTTGTCAGCTGTCCAAATGACTCCGGGTATCACCTGTAAACGTCAGTCGACTTTATTCAAATGCCTGAATCATTGAAGGATTGGCCTTACACGCTGCTGCAATTACGCCAACTGCAGTTGCAACGTCCTCGCAAGGACGTTTCGATCATCGCAACACGATCCTGATGATCCTGCTATCTCCAACTCGATCTCGCCACAAGGAACAGCAGACATTTGATGTGAGCAGAGAAAAAAAAATGATCTTCAAGACTTTTTTCCTCCACATACGAAATTTTCTTGTTTATTTCTCTATTTGCATTCCGGAGAAATCTTGAATGTCTGAATTTGCTTTTTATTTTAATTGAAATAGTTAATGATTTAAATTGAAATTTTGTGGAAAATTGTAATGTAATCATAATCAATTTTGAACTGAGAATCTCTGAGAAGTATAATTACAAGCTGACCATTATTTTACATATCTGGGTGGGGTACTTACTCATGGAGCACTCGGCAATTACCTTCTCCCATTTAGAATTTCTCTGGAATCTCGTGATTCTGCCAGACAGCCTGCCAACTCGCACATTGTGTTTATCGATGGTGAGCATGGGTATTCCAAGAACTAATTGCCGGTCTTCTCCATTACTTTTGAAACGTGTAATTGCAAGGTTGTGGGGTCTCGCGAGCTTGCAACGCCAAGACATGAGTTCGTAATTTCAGTGATTAAAATTACTATCGAAAAAAAAAAAATCGTCAGGACCTCGATTTTTCGATGATGAAAAATTATCGAAAATGTCGAAATTGAATACTCGTAATGACAATGAGCATTCCACGCAATCTACCTGTCAGAAGTAATCGCGTTAAGATCATGACACCGAGTGTGTAAGGATTATGTAATCCTCTGATTGTTAACAATTCGGAGAGACTAATTGCAGTAATGAAAAAAGGAACAAGCCAATGAGAAAGGATAAATCAGGATTCGACGAGAAAATTGTGGAATCAAAAAATAAACCGAGGATTTTGAGTGAATCGTAATAAAATAATAAAAAAATACTACAACTTGCAAAGATATCTTTCATATCTTTATTTCACGTTTAAAATATCATACATAATGGCATCCCACGAGTAGGTGTCTCAAAACCATTGTTACAAAAACGTTTGTCTTCATGTTTAATCATCATATAATGACATTGTAATAATTATCATAACAATTACGTCATGCCTGACGTATTACCCAACCGTGGATGATATTGTTGAGCGAGAACCAGTTGCATATCGTATTTCAGTATGACGTCGACAGCTTACTGGAGGATTACGATCTTAAGTTATGGAAGACACCACCAGGATGCAACTTTCACCCAACATCGTCTGCGAGTCATCGATACACATCCTGATCTTCCCAGCAATTTATGGTAACTCTATGGGTATACGTTTTTCTTTTGCTAGATTCTATGAAAGCTGAATAAATAAATACGTTCTTGTAAAGTAATAGTCAAGGAGAATTTTACACAGTATCGATATTAAACTGATCTTCCTGATTCGTAATATCCTCCTCTCCTAGACAATTGGTCGTAGAAAAATAGAGATAAAAAAAATAGTATTGTTTTAGGTGATTGAGGCTATGACGATAGTATGGAATCCAACATCACCATTCATCGACTGTTGAAAGGCCCTTTTTTATGCTTGAGATCCACTAACAGGTGGGTCTGATGGCGGTGGTGATGTCAATGGATTTTTCGCCAGTTATCCTTTCTCGGTGATGACTCACTAAAAATATCCTTAACCCGCTAGGGGTGGTAGATATTCGCGGTCTGGTCTCGCCGGTCCTACAGGCGGAAATGGAACGTCTGGCGCTGGCTTTCCGGGGTACCCTGGTGGGGTGCCGGGGAGGCGGGGCCTGCCTGGGGTTGGTGGACCCGTGGGGGAGGGGTAGCCCGGCCGTTCAGTGGGGGTCGGTCGGTTAGGGAATCCCTCTGATGGGGGAAGGGGAGTCAGATACTCGTTGCCCCCAGGACGCTGAGGCCGGGAACCGGGGCCCGACGGCCTCTGACCGGGATAGCCTGCGAGGAATGTATTTTTATTAGAACAAAATTGCGGGATCGATGATTTTGGACTGCGGCATTTATTATGGCATTTATTTTTATTCTGTGAAAAAATTGAAGACCTCACCTGGGCCTGATGGGCCTGATGGTCGCTGATCTGGGTAGTCTGGGCGACTAGGGTAGCCTGTGAATGGAATTTTTTACATGAGCTGAATTCTGGACGGGCTAAAATTGTGGAATGACTTGAGAGAGACTAGGTACCTGGGGGTGAAGGTCCTTGGGGGCCGGGGCCTGGATAACCGGGACCTGATGGACCCTGTGGACCCGGGTAACCTGCGATCAGAAGGGATGTCAAATATTTGTGACGATTTCAACGGTGAGTGATTAATTTTTTTTATTATTTATGAGATTTGGCACCTGGACGAGAGACTCCTCCCGGAAATCCTGGGCCTGAGGGCGGGTTGGCGCCTGGATATCCTGGAAATACCGAAATAATGATTTTAAATATTCTGTTTTTTTTTCGAATAAATCGCGTACTGTCATCATATTTTTTTGTGCTACCTGGCCCGGATGGCGGCTGCGGTCGTTGGCCGGGGGAAGTAGGCCCGGAAGGCCCCGAAGGCCCAGAGGGTCCTTGAGGCCCCGGTGCTGGGTAGCCTGGTCCAGGGAATCCTGGGGCCGGGCTTGGTCCTGGAAAGCCTAAAGAAGATGAAATTCATAAATTTTTTCTTCCATAAATTGAAAATTTGAGAGGCGATTGATATGGTGGAGATTTTACCTGGCCCAGATGGTTGTTCTCCCGGTGCTGGGAAACCAGGGCCTGGGAATCCCGGCCCAGGGAATCCGGGTCCTGGGAAACCCGGACCCTGGGGTGATGGGGTTCCAATAATTGAGTAATCGTACAAGTTCTCGTTCAAGTAGTAGAGGCTAGGAGCTGAATTACAGTCGAACTGATTCCACCAAACGCAAACAAAATACTCTTGATGGAATATCGTTCCATTGGGACAGAGAAAATCATACGTTTTATTATTGGCACAAACGTGGAATACTTGACACTGAGTTTCCACGTCCGCGTAATAACCGGGGAATTGTTGAGCGTCACAACTGAAGCCAGTCTCGGGAATTTCAGAATAGATGGGGTAATCCCGACCTGGTTCTCCAGGAATAGCAGAGTAATCCCCTTCATCATAAGAGCCATCATCACCATCGTCGGAATCACCTGGTTGCTGTCCACCAGGGAAACCCGGTCGTTGTCCCGGAGGCGGAAGTATATCATCTCCAGGGAAAGTTGGTCTCTGGCCTGGCTGTTGTCCACCAGGGAATCCCGGTCGTTGTCCAGGTGGAGGAAGTATATCATCTCCAGGGAAAGTTGGTCTCTGGCCTGGCTGTTGTCCACCTGGATAACCAGGTCGTTGTCCCGATGGGGGAAGTATATCATCTCCAGGGAAAGTCGGTCTTTGGCCTGGTCGTTGTCCACCTGGATAGCCTGGTTTTTGTCCCGGTGGAGGAAGTATATCATCTCCAGGGAAAGTTGGTCTTTGGTCCGGTCGTTGTCCCCCTGGATATCCAGGTTGTTCCCCTCCAGGGAAACCTGGGCGATCCTGTCCAGGAGGAATGATGTCATTGCCCGGGAACAGTGGTTTTTGTCCCGGTCTGGGAGTGTCATCACCAGGGAACGTTGGCTTTCCTGGACCAGGTCGTCCGTTATCATATCCAGGGAATCCAGGCCTCTGTCCACCTGGGAATCCTGGCTGCTGCCCTTGACCCGGTTTGTCGCGTGGAAAATTATCGAATGATGTGGGCGGCGGTTGTTTTACTGGTGGCTGGAATGGAGGTTGTTTTCCCGGCTGCTGAGTTTGATCGGGTCGATCACCACCGGGGAATGGCAATGATGGTCTATCCCGAGGATAACCAGAAGGGCCAGTACCACCTGGCCTCTGACCCGGCTGAGTACCTGGCGGACGGGGGAAAACCGGTTGCTGTCCCTGATCCGGTCGATCACCACCTGGATATCCAGTTGAAGGTTTGTCACCAGGATATCCGTCAGGACCTCCGGGCGGTGGAGTTGGCCTGGGGAATTGTCCCGGTCTGTTTGAGGGTGAGGGGAATCCAGGCCGCTGGTTCTGATCTGGTCGGTCACGTGGATATCCATCCGAGGGGCCCTGATCACCTGGCCTCTGTCCTGGATATCCGGGTTGTGGGTTTGGTCCTTGAGGGCCGGGCTGTTGGCCAGGATAACCAGGCTGTTGAGGCTGCCCTGGTCGATCACCACCGGGGAACGGAATTGAGGGTCTCTCACGGGGATATCCTTCGGATGGTCCTTGTCCACCAGGTCGTGATGGGAAGCCAGGCTGTCCGTTATCTGTTGGTCTTCCGCCGGGACGACCACCGGGATATCCTTGATCGGGTTGACCTGGTCGACCACTGGGATATCCTTGGTCAGGTTGACCCGGTCGTCCGCCGGGACGTCCACCGGGATATCCTTGATCAGGTTGACCCGGTCGTCCGCCGGGATATCCTTGATCAGGTTGACCCGGTCGTCCGCCGGGATATCCTTGATCAGGTTGACCCGGTCGTCCGCCGGGACGTCCACTGGGATATCCTTGATCAGGTTGACCCGGTCGTCCGCCGGGATATCCTTGATCAGGTTGACCAGGACGTCCACCAGGATATCCCTGATCAGGTTGACCGGGACGTCCACCAGGATATCCCTGATCGGGCTGCCCCGGACGTCCACCGGGATATCCCTGATCAGGTTGACCCGGTCGTCCACCAGGATATCCCTGATCAGGCTGACCCGGTCGTCCTCCAGGTCTTCCACTGGGATATCCTCCCTGGCCCCCCGTTGGAAAACCCGGCTGTCTCCCCGGTGAAGTCGTAGGCGTTGTTCCCGGAAATCCCCCCGGCTTCGGCGAAGTCCCCGGAATCAAAGGATTACCCGGCACCGGATAATTATACCCATCCTGCGCCTAAAACACCAGAACACCCACTGAGTACAAACCATTTAATCCAATTCTATCTCGATTCCTAGATCAGTGATTAGATGAAGCAAGGGGGAAAAAAAAATGAAGAAAACATAAGAAAAGGAGAAAGGAACGAAATGACCTCGGCACCGGGGGCAACACGCGAAAAGCTAAAACCTGAGACGAGCTCTGTCTTTTCTTCTCCCCACCCTTACCACTATCTTCTACCCTCGCGTGGTTTCAAGATTACATCATGCGGTGCCACGAGCCGATCGCACGATAGATGAACAGTCTGACGTCTTGCGCAATTGGAGGTAAAAAAAAAAATGAAGTTTCTCGCAGGAAGACCTGCCCGTTTTCATCTTGGAATTCCGTGTCATTCCATATCGAGTCCGCTTTGTCATATCATATTTCCCAACTTCACTGACAAAGGAAACAAACGATTGCCCGCAAGGAAGACACAAACTGCGAATTCCTCAGTGTCAGAAACAATCTACATCAATTTCCTCTCGCCCGTCGACATTAAAAAAAAAATCATACATCCGTGATTAATTCATATTTATTTTTCAGTGTAATTGACACGAACAAATGGGACTTACCGTTGAAACATCGGCGATGGCCAGCCAAGCTGAAAGAATAAAATCGAATAAGTCCGATCAGTTGATAAACAATTTGACACCCGTGATTGCAAAATAATCGCGGGAACAATGCGTCACTTGGAATTTTTCTGGAATTATGGGTGCAAGTTGGTGAGAAAGTGTAAACTTAATGTCTGTCTTGACATACCGACAATGCTCTTAATTAATTAACGGGAAGTTATGTCACAGATTTTTCAAATAATTTCTCTGACGAATCTCACCAAATTTCGCACGCAAAACTCGGGAGAACTCCTCGGAGACGATCATCACACACTTTCTGGTGAGTGGTTTACTATTCAACATCGCGTGCGTACAATTACCAACTCCCAACCATTTTTCTCCGGGCTTTTGTGAGACCCAAACAATCCAGTTATTTGTCTTGGAAGAGAGAACTGAATTCAAGGTGTTAAATAAACATGCCGTGCATTTAGTGCAATTTTTGCTAATTTGCTTTTTAATTCTCTGGCCCAAAAAATATCGAGGTAATTTCACAGTCCTCCGCAGTTTTATTCTAGCCTCAGAATTTTCGAAATTTTATTTCGTTGTCATCAAATTTTCTTATTTTAATTTCAAATTCAAAGTTTCCAGGATTTTCGTAATTGAAAATTTACAGTGAAATAATTATCGACAATTAAGAATTTCTCTTTAATTACTCCAGAAAAATAGCCAAAAATTGATTTATCTCCAATAATTACGGCTCGGGTGGATTATCTAAAAAAGATAATTTACTCCGAAATTCGGATTCCTAATTACTTTGGTAATTAATCGTTTTTTTCAATAATTGTTCGCTAGCGTTCTAGCGGTTGTCAACAACTAGGCGACTAGCTAACAATTATCGGAAAAACGATTAATTGACGGAGTAATTAGAAGTCCCAATTTCGGAGTAAATTATCTTTTCCGGACAGTCCATTCGGGCCTTAAAAAAAAATCTCCATGGGTTTTGAAAGGACGAATAAAATAAAAATATATTTATTTCCATGTGAACATTGACTTGATATTTCGATATGCTAGTCTCAACTGACATTTCAATGAAGAAATGGAGAGAAATCCCGTAGTCCCTGATGAGAGGACTAAAAACCCCTTGAAAGTGAAAAAGGGTTCCCCGGGTGAGTACACTCAACCTTTATACCCACCACCAGGGCGAATCCTACAAAATACTCGGCTGTCAAAGCCCAATTCCTCACCACCACAATTCCCCATCTCCAAACAATGCCCTTGTCTCTACCAAGCCACGAAACTTTATCTACAACCCATTTTAATTAGAGGAAGTTACAACACCTCTCCCCATCTTCACCCGTTGAAACTTCGTTTCACAGAATGTGGCATCTAGCGCAATAATCCACACCACGTGTTTTCGGTACATTCAATAATACATTCATTGTTACCACGATCCATTGCAAAATTGTCCCTCATTTGCAGAATCAAAACCCAAGTTTATATGAGAATAACGTGTCGAAGTATGCTATTACGAAAATGAAGAATTCAACGAGAGAATTATTCAAATAATTACATTACCATTACAGCACAGAGCAATAAGATTTGATTGAATTCTCCATGCGGTGGGTGTCGTCAGACGTATTCCCTCATAATCACCATCCACTTAACAGACCCATCATATTCCAAAAAAATAATAATAATAATAATAAAAATAGACATCACTCACCCATCCACAGCAGCCACCTCTTCATGATCGCTTGTCGCTGTCTCGTTGATGCAGAATAATCTAAAAAAAAGATGAAAAAAAAAAATTACGAAACTCAATCCCCGGGAGAATCGAACTTGACTGTCCCATTGTCATTGACATCTCCAACAATGCCACCGACATTTCTCGGGTTTATTATATCTCGGTGGTAGCCCACGATAATGGAAAGTACTCTTGACTCCACGATTGTAACATCCCAGAGTGAAAAGCTGTAATCAAACTTGAGGTGAATTGTTTCTACTGGAAACAGAAGGATGAAACTCTGATGAGGAGTTTGCACTCCATTTGAAGCAATGATCACTCGAATATCGATTACAATTGGACAGACGAGCCGTTGAATCGAGGGTAAAAATAAACACACTATTTGCACATTAACCGTTGGAATAATAATATTGATGGAGATTAATAGCCGATGGATTACGAGAGACTCACCAGAGCTATTCAGAGGTAAACACTTGGTATGGTAAAGTCAGAGAGGTGACTGATGGTGGAGGTGTTGGACTGACAATATATACCCCAGGTTAAGCAGCCCCCAATTGTCAAATCATCTCCCACCAGGATTTGATGGGGATGCTTGTACCGATGTGTTGATCCTCTCAGGTGATTTTTTTTTTTTTTTTCATTCTTTTTCGTAATTGGAGAGAGATGGAATGAAAAAAGCGAAATGTGGATAAATGGACTGCCCCTTGTGGGTATGAGGATGGAGGTGGGATATATTTGTGGGAAAAAAAATTGAGGGGAAAAATGAGAGGTGGGAGGTGGGAGGACGACCTCACCTGGGGAACGTGCTGAGTGACCCATGGGTATTCACTCCATGGGTGAATAAATCCTGTGGGGTGGGAGTGGGTGGTGGGGAGACGACGGAGATGAGCTCGTGGGAGGCCCCGGGGTTAGTGAAAGTGAAATACTGCAAGTAGAGTAACATCTTCCAGTCGGTGGGATATCCCAGGGATTATGAGAGGTTGAAGACCATGATTCGGTCATCAATTTGCGGGGGGGTGGGATTTACTGAATTTTTTTTCCACTTCCATGGAACATACTAAATTTATTTTTAAAAATCGTTCGATTAGGGATGACTAGAGTAAAATTAAATAATTAGGATTCTTCCATTCACAGCCTCATTCGATTTTTTAATGTATATAAAAAAATATAATAAATTATATTTAATAAATCATATTTAAATATAATAAATTATAAAATATATATAATAAATATGATAAATTATATTTAATATTGGAAGAATAGCAACTAGAATTGTTACTCAGTGTCCAAATGAAAATCCAAGATGATTCTGCGCAGTCTCGGGGATATATCATCACCTGGAAAATTGAAACGTTAAACCGATAAAATTCTATTTTTATATCGAGGAATGTGCATCCAGTGACACATATTCTATGAGAAATTATCATATTTTTTTTGATGACCAGCCAGAGCTCATTAATCGATCGATAACGATCGATTACGACTCGGTGTGACTGGCACTGGAGAATCCGTATTTTTTCCCTTTTGATTTGAGCCAGTGGTGGGGGAATATGCACATTCAGGTGCATCTTGGTGCGGAATAATTGAGATGTGTCAGTCGAGGCGAAAATCTGAGTGATCTATCGACGTTTGTCGCTGGGAGATTAAAGAGTTGGCGCATTGAATATGCCGACACCAGGCGCCAAGAAAATTATTGACTTCGATAAGGATTACCTCACTGCGGGGTCATAAAATTTTTCAGAATTCATTTCCACCCCGAAAGACTGCGTCTGTCAACATTTCATGTAAATCAGTCTGAGATTCTCTCATGTCGAAATAAATTCCATTTCCCGCAAATCGATGAGCATTGGTCAATCAGTCGGAAAATTTTTTTAGAAAAAAAAAGTTTTTGTATTAAATAAAAATTCACAAGTAAAATAAAATAATATATTTCTGCAGACCCCGTGGATATTCAAGTAATGATCGATTTTCAAAGTTAATGAGAAATTTTCAAAATTTTTTTTCAATTTTGAAAAATTTTTTTAATTAAAAAAAAATTTTTTAATCGTTTCAGAATTTTATCCCACGTAATTGAAAGCGAAAATGAGATTCATTAAAAATCCTCCATCCGAGGTACATCTCCGGATATATATTTAATAAAATAATAATTTGCATTAGTCTAGCTTTCAGAACTCCAAGAACTTCTCACCCTCGATTTTTGAACCCCTCGAGGGATTTTCACGATTCCCATGAATCAAATGTTTATGTGGAGTGCGTCGGTACGAAGAAATATACCCCGCAAAAAGCGTCATACAATCATATGACTTCCCGTATGCCGCAACCAGTCACATCATGTACGAAATGCCTCCATTGCGTTGGCAATCTCGTTTATGACTACAAAAGTCGCATTGAGCGGTCGTATACTTCATGACAAACCAAACAGTCCGACTTATCGCTCTGTCAAACTAAAGAGATAAATCCGAATTATAAATGTTGTGTACATCCTGAGATTTGTTGTACCAACAACATTCATGATCTCTATCAACTTTATTTGGAAGACGACGTAATCTGGAAAATGCTGATTACCCACAATCATTACCGAGTTTTTCACGCAATTAAAATGCAACATGTAATTATGAAAAACCCGTACGTCTCTAATTTATCATCGCAATAGATTCAATTTATTGTCGTGGAAAATTGCGGGAATATTGTGCCGAGAGAATTGAATAATTTCGTTTATTGAATTATAAATTCTTACCAAATGAATATGAAAGCCTATTTTAGTGTCAATAAAAGTATTTTTTCATTTTACTAAAGGTTCCTTATTCATGAAATACTTGAAGTATACTTGTTGCGTAAATTTTGAGTTGAAAGTATGAAGCCAGGGAGATCTTGGCTCTGTACAGAGTAAAATAAGAAAGTACTTTTCCATGTTTATGGAGATTTCTATTATCAGATTTTCTTCCCCTCGTCTGCATTTATGCTTGAGTTTATTCGAGATCAATCTCTCAGGGAAAGAGACTAACTGAATTACTGCAATTGTAAGCCTCAGCCTCTGGCCACTTAACTCCCATAAAAAATTATTAAACACATCAAGATTCATTTTTTAAAAAAATCGAGAATGCGATAGATAAAATGATACATTGGTTATCTATTCTCGTTTTTTTATTTCTTTTGTCCATCTTTCTTTTTCGCTTCGCTCTTGCGGTTTTTGATTCTGTCCAGAAAGACTAAAGAGGCCAAGGTGATGATCACTAGACAGGAATATCCTGATGACCTCCATAAGCACCGGAAAAATCCTGCGAAATTCGCAAAAAAAAAAATTCGCAAAAAATCCTGCAAAAAAAATTACATCACAGTAATTGAAATCTGATTTCGCCCTACGATTACATTGCGCAATTAATCTTTTAATTATTTCGTGTGATGTGTTCCGTTCTCCGAATTCATGATGACGAGAATAATTGCAGAAATCAGCTCAAGGTATCCATGAAAATTTCATTAAGTCACTCGGAGCTATGTTACAGATCGTAACAACATCTTTTCATGTGCAGTAACCTCGCCTTACTAGGTGCAATGATGCGCAAGGTTGCAAATTTTCATTCGAATCGGGAAAGGTGCGTACCTTTCAATCCACCGCGGCCTTTTGTTCCTGATACGCATTGCGCTATCTCTCTCCCCTGAAAGCACCGCCACATGATTCATTTTCCAAGAGATGAGTTACCCAAGACTAAAACTTATAACAAAAAATAAATTAATACATTATTTTTAAAAAAACCGTTACGATTTTTAGCGAAAAAAATGTGGAAAGTCGAAATGCAAAAAACGATCATTCCACTCATTCATTATTTAAATATTTTTATTATTATTTATTATTATGGTCTCGAGTATATATTTTTTCTGCGAGCGTGCATCACCAAATAAAGGCTAACAGTAATTATCCAACACGTTTGAACGATTGTCTCACAAGAAAAGAATTCCAGATGCAATGCGACCCAGAATACCTGAACTAACTCATTAAATTCTGGTGATTTTTCTCATTTTGCCACGTCCCAACCGCAAGAATGTCCCGGGTTTATCATTGGACTGTGTTCTCTGACATTTTCACGTAAGTTATTGATGAAACAACGAGATTCATCGGTGGGGATTGACGGTAGATAGGTATCTGAGTTACAGAGGCAATTAATAGCTAGGTTTCTGTTAACACTCGTGTCTTTTCTACGCCCACACCTGGGTATTTATTCACTATCCAATTTCAGGGGTTCTGTCACGCTGTGTTGAACACCGCGCTATTTTTCCCTTGATGAGTAATTCCACATCAATTAGCGATTAAAATGTCTAATTGAAACTAATATACTATCGGAATTTGAGGGAGAATTTTTTTTCCAGAAATCACCAGAAATTATTACTGCAAAAAAAAAATACTATTTGCTGCTCACATGTTCTGGATCGGATGCGCAATCGGTGAATCAATAAAAATAACAATAAACAATACAAGTTCATGAATAAAATCGAAAATATTGAATTTTATCTCTCGTACGATTCTCAGCAGAGCGATCGGGCAATCCGAGAACTTTCTATATTTCATCTTCACGTATGACTTTAAAACCCTCCATAATTTTCACGAAGTACCGATTTTTACCGAGCAAATGAGACCGACAAATTATCTCAAAAAATTACAACACAATTTCAGTAATAAAAAGGAATACATCTATAATGAAAAAATTAAGTTAAGAAAGCACCGACTGATATTACATAAACTCAAGTACGAGAGGAATAAAGAGGGTAAATAGTCGATGAGGCAATCAATAAATGGAGATACTGCCTAGGAGATGCTCTGGCACTAAATTCCCTGGATTTGTACAACAGCTGTCACTTATTCCTCGTTGTACCATTGTAATTCCCTCTCATAATTCGGTTTTTAAAATCCACCAATTCGATAACCACTAGTCCAGGAAAAGGCATCAAACGGGGGAGAAAAGAAAATATTTTTACGTGACGTAAAATCTATTCTCTCCCCCAGATGATATTCGAGCGATTCCACGTTCCCGCGATCTCTTGAGTAGTTAATGGAATAAAGAACTAAGTGTTTTTACCGATCATTGAAAATACTGGCCAATCGGTGAATCAATTCCTCAGATATTGCACAACCAGAGTGAATCAATGAGGTCAGAGGGAAAGTGGAGACAACGGAAGACACTCTAGAGCAACCTCAAAATCCAATTCAAATTCTCACATGAACGGAAATAAATCAGATGCCTATGAATAATTATCAGATATTTTCCAACCGATTCACCTGAAATAAAGGAAAATCAAATAAATGATTGGATGACTGGAAGGTCTTGGATGAATTCCTGATGATTTACTAGAGGACACTTTCCATTTCATGAATCTGACACCTGATTCTGATTGTTGACAGGTTTGATCGTGCCTACGAATCTGTTCGAGGGACATTGATAGGACTCTACACTCCGGTGAATTTCACCGGTGGATGA